CCCATGCCCTGGGGCAGGTCGCGCGATGGAATGAACCAGTCCTGGTCTTCTTCCTCCAGCATCTCCTGGAAGCAGCGGTCGAGAAACTCCTGCTCCTGCAGCTCCTCCTCCACCTGCCCAAGGAGACTCGTTAGTCACAGGTACGAACGAGGCACCTTGGAGTTTGCCATACGCTGGCCCCACCTGGGAAAAGTGTCTGCAACGTGGCTACCTCACCTGGGTACCTGCCGTGCCTCAGAACACCACAGGGCAGCCAGAGCTGGGTGTTCAGCCTAGATGACCACGGCTTTGTTGACTTGCCTGTAGCCCACCCCGGGAAGCGCGAGAGCACAAGAACTGGCACCTTTTGAGCGGAGCAAAGCTGCGCTCGGGCATCGCTTCCCGGCCCCTGCAGTCTGCCGGGGTGGGGAGATGCAGCCCGCAAGCCCACGGCTCCAGGCGAATCCAGAAGGGAATGAGATAGGATTTACGGGAGATCCAGATGCATCAGCGCACGCAGGGGATTTCAGGCTACCCAGGCTCCAGCAGAGCTTGCCGCAAAACGAACGGGATGGCTAACGAAATCGGAGCCGGGAAGCAGCGCTGGAGGTGCGCGTTGTTGCAGGGATCCTCTGCTACGGAGCGATGCTGTAGCTCTACCTGCCTTTCTTGCTTCTCCGGTTCGTTGCACCGGCTTCTGCTCAGGCCCCTCGGCAGACCGGTGCTCTGCAAGCACCGACGCACGGTGGCAGTCGGCTCCCGTCGAGCGAACCGTGGATGACGCCATCTCCGCTGCAGGAAAATTCCTCCCGAGGCCGAGGAAAGCTGCAGGACCTGGCTCGGGCTCCCGGAGCAGAAAACTGCTCACGCAGGGGTGTGCAGGCAGGATGGAGGGGCTGGGGGTCCCATCCTTACCCTCGAGCAGGCAGGTATCATCAGTGGGTCGCGTTAACCGGCTGCTCCCATCTTCCAGGCGGGTTTTCTCTGGATGCTGACTGGAGCAAAGCAAGCGAGGCAGCAAGCTGGGCAGCCCACGCCGCCAGCGGCCTCCTGCTAAACAGGCACCTGGTCGCCAGAAAGCAAGCAGACGGGGCGACAGCCAGAAAACAGCAGGATTTTGAGCAGCTGTTATTGAGTCCAAGAGGGCTGAGTGAATGCGTGAACCATAAAATGCCCTGAAAAGCTTAAACCCTTCCATTCTCACCAGAAGAATGTAGAAACTACAACCCAAACTGGCTTCCTGAAGGGAAAAAGAGGAGCTCTGCAACCCACCGTGCCACATGCCACAGCCCCGGAGCTGGGGATGGGCCGGCAGCCCCTGCCACCGTCAGGCTACCGGGCTCCCACTGCCCCACCACGGCGTTTACGGAGACCTCTTGGTCACAAAGGGCTTGGGAAGGTAACGCGGGTAAAGCCACAGTACTACCGACTTCCAGGTTATTCACGGCCAGTCCCTGTTACACTTTAAATCTCATCAAGGAAAACTCCTTGCGAGGATTGTTCAAAGCTCTCTCACAGTGACCAAGCCTTGGCTGCTGTCTCCAGCCTCAGCTTCTGGAGAGCTTCTCACCACCAGCTTTAGAAATCGGGTCTGGCCAGGGGAAAATCCCCTTTACTGCTAGCAAAGCATCCCATCGCTATCCTCAGCTGGGTTTCCACAGCCTGTCCTTGAAACTACCTGCTGGCACTAGCAGGTGAAAACAGGCTATTTAAAAACCCAACGCACCAACCAGCCCAGGAGTGCTGGCCGCCCCAGCAGGCGAGGACGACTGCCCTGGCATTCCACCCTTCTACAGGACACGGCGAGCCCAGAGCTTTGTGCACCTCACAACACTTCAAAGCCAGGTGAATATTCCCGCTCCTCCAGCACCCCAGCAGCACCTCGTTCCCCTTCCCACACCAGAGCCTTTTTGGCGCACAGAACCGGCCATCGTGGCCAATGCCAGCACTGGCTGCGAGCCGGGGACACGGTGACGATGTTGGTCCCGGACCAGGGGACAGGAAAGGGGAGATCCCGGACACGCTCACACCCGTACCTGCCTGCTACCCCTCTAGCCAGAAACCACAAACTCCTTCGCACCGCATCGTGACAACCTGAACCAGGAGAGAAAGGGTTTCGTATTTGCTCAGGGCTCTTCTTTGGCTTCCTGTGGTATCGGATGGGGCTCTGTCACCTCCGGCCCCCGGTCCTTCTCCACCAACCTCACCTGCTGTCAGCACAGTTTCTTCTCACCGCAAGAGCCCACCACTCCCTTTTTGCCCTCCGGGATGTGCTGGCTCCATGGGAAAAGGAACGTCGGCAGCATAAATAAGAGAGGACTGTGCCAAGAAGCTCGCGGGTTTCTGAAGACACCTGCCTGTTCCCCTACTGAGGGCCCGGACGGCAGAAAACCTTTGCGGAGGAGGCAAGGAAACAGCGTGGCTTCAGAAAGCTGAGGAAGAAGGAGGAACAAGTGAGGTGGGTCTGGAGGAAGATTCAGCCCCAGAACTCACAGCAGCCCCCCGCTGCTGGGGTGTGCACGTGAAGACGGCAGAAGCCACCGTCGCCACTGAAAGGGACGTGCCTGCTGTCCCCCAGCCTGTGCCCCCCTCACCGGCATCTCCTCCTCTCCCAGGGACACTGGGAAGCGACTCCGGGCAGGGAGCGGAACGGGGCAGCTGAGGGGCAGGAGGCACAGCATCCCAAGCCGAGCCCCCCCAGGCCCCAGGCCAGCCCGAGGCCGGCTTCTTTCAGGAGTGCTGCCTTCCGACAGCCGAAGATCCTGGCCCAGGACAGCTCTCCCTACCCCCGCCGGTGCCCCACCAGCGGGCACACGGACTTCAGAGCCCTTACAGAGTGACTCCAGCTTCTGTACGAACCATTTTCCCCCGCCGAGCTGCGTTTCCCCAGGAGATGGACGAAGGGCTGAGCTCCCAGGACATCGCTAAGGGACTGGAAGTGCAGAAGCGAGGGCTGGCAGATCAGGAAAGCGTGGACGAGTATCTCGGCGACATGGAGCCCAACACAGGGACGCCCTGAGGTCTTGGCTCCGTTTTCCTCCCTCCTCCATCTCCCTCCGCCTGCACATGCTTTCCTCCACCTTGCTCCTCCACCCCAGGACGCTCTCTCCGGTACGGAGCTGCAGTATGGTTTGCTTTGCACTTTGCCTTCATCAGGCTTTTAATCAAGGCTTTACAAATATGAACTAATGAATCTCACACATTTCCACCAGCACAGCTGCTTGTGGAGGCCGGCTGCTGCCTAATCACGTCATTAAATAAAACAAAAGCCTTGAGTCACAGCCCGCTGACAATTGCTAACGTGACGTGGGGCGGCACAAGGCGGCTGCTGCACACTCATCAGGAGTTACTGTCAGCAAGCGGCTGCAGTTTCCTCCTGTGGGAACAGGACTTAAGTATTACCATATGGAGATTTTCTGCTGAGAACACCAGTAAAGCTGACGAAATCCTCCTTCGGTGACCAGGGGCGCGGTGGGGACATGCAATCCCTCTGCCCAGCCTGCCCGCAGCTCCAGAGGTCCCTCCCTGCCAGTCTCCCGACACCCCGGTGATGGGAATCCGGTGCTTGGCCACATTTGTGGGGACGTTTTAGGGAGGGGACAAGTGTCCAGGAGAGTTCAGGGTTTCTGCCTGTAGCACAGCTCAGCCAGCTGAAGGGGCAAGCTCCTTCCTCGCCCAGTTCAAGGTGTCCCATTTCTCTCCAGCTACTGGGACGATGGCAGGAGGGACCAGCGAGCCTCCAGCAAGCTCTTCCCTGCTGCCTCCTGCCGCCCTGGCATTTGGCTGAAGATCCAAAGCAGAAGCACGAGGAGGATGCTATGCGGCTGCTCCCTCCGCTCCAGCTCGCCGGGTCACGTCGTTATTCCACAAGCAAGAGCTGTTCCAGTCCCACCACGATCTACCAGAAGCTCTCAAGAGCTGGGCTGGCCATTACAGACACAGCATCCAGTGGCCAAGGCTCCTACCGAGTGGCTTGGCTAGTCCAAGCATATTTGGGACCATTTCACTGAAATGGAGACTTCTACCCGAAATGGGAGGTACTAAGTGCTGGAACTCAGTGCTGAGATAGCCAGGCTACAAATGCTCTCAAATTTTGCGCACTGATTTTTAGGCTGACCCTCTTCCTCCAGCTGAGCACGCAGAGAGGGAAGGTCTCGGTGACCACAGCAAAGCACAGGAGAAGATGACGGTGCCGTCACTGTCCCTCTAACAAAGATCTGAGAGTGTCAAAGGCATCGTGAGGGTTTTTTTTTCCTGACTTTATCCATCTCATGTCCTTAGGGGCAGATCCAACATAAACAGGATGACTCTTCCCTTGAGCTGCCGTCTCCGTGCAGGGCCCGCGCCGGCCGTGATTCACACGCAATTCATGGTGCCCATCAAAGGAAACCTCTCCCTCGCCTCAATTTTAGCTGCAGAAATGCAGAGCTGGCAACCACCCTCCCGGTCTTACCTGTCTGTTGAAGTCTTCTTCGTTCTCCATCCACATGTACTCTGCGAAGGGGTTGTTTTCCTTTTCATCGTGGCCATTCACTACTTGGTCCTCTTTGGATTTGGGACTGGACGCCGTCGTACTGGCGAGGTCGGAGCCATTCATCATTACTGACTCTGGGAAGAGAAACAAGGGGGTGAGGGAGCTGCCAGGGACCCCCGTGCCCCCCAACCCACGCCAGCCACCCAGCTCCCAGATGGACGCTTGCCACCGGCCATGCTGATGGGTGCTGAGGCTTCCAGCACAAGAACCTGCTGCTTCCAGGCTGCCTTTTTCAAGGCACAGCACCATTCCCGACTCCTCTTCTCTCCTCAGAAGTGCTGGAAGCAGCACTACACCTCCCTGGCAGTGGCAGCATTTCTTTTTCATGGTTTTGACCCATCAGGGATAGTCTGAACGTACTTGGTCTGGACTTAGAGCAAGGCGTGACCTGACCAGCAGCTCCTGGAGAAATTGTGAACGGGGCTTGGAAAGGCACCAGCACCCCGCACTCTGTCCATCCATCACATTTATTTTAAATCTGCCACAAAATACACCAAAAGACCACAACCGGGTTGTCGCTGCAGCCAACACACCAACACCACAGCAGCAGATTGCCCTCTACCCCAAAATACTGAATTTCCTGGCAGAACCTACGCACGCCAGTTCGTGTCCCTTTACCCCTGCCGTAATTTCTTTATTTTTCAGAGGGCATTTCGCAAAAGCCTGTTGGCTTGCGACACAAAGGCTGCCTTTTTCTAAAGCAGGCATTCAGAGTCCCAGCAGCACGGCTTGAAGCAAGGCAAACCTTACCGAGTCCGAGACTTCAATTTCTGAAAGGCTCCCAGGAGCAGACGGAGCGAAGGACGCACAGACAGATAAATAAGGCAGAAATTCAATAGAAATCCTATGGAACAGCGAAACACGGACTAAGGCCAGCACAACCCTGCTGAAAAACGTCCAAACATCACGTAACGACATCCCAGCTGTATGTTTTACTCTCCCCTGGTAAAGGCTTTATCCGGAGCTGGGCCACATCCAGCTCCAGGAGAGCACTGCGGCAGGGGGACAAACTGGAGAGCATCCCGCAGGAGCAGGGGCTGGAAAACAGGACTTCTTGGGATGATGTGTTGGTTTGGTCTCAGGGAGGGTGGGAGCCAGGCAGCCCTGCAGGTACAGAGGGAGGCTGCAGAAAAATCAGGCTTTTGTCCCGAGGGATACAGAGCGGGGTGCGGTCTTTGCAGCCATAGAAATTGGATTCAGAGGGGGAGTGAGGTCGGGGAGACCACTAGTGAGGATGGGAACCAATACCCTTTGCAACGGGACAAGCCTCTCCCCAAAAGTTTCAGGGAACAGTTACCGACAGGCACCACGGATGGTCCAGGTATGCCTCATCCCACGTTAGGAACACGAAGACAAATTAGATGAGCTCGCGATGTCTCCACGAGCCCCTACAAGGCTGTGAGAGCAAGCAACGTCCCCGCCGGAGCCTGGACTTTTCTGTCTCTGGCCAGGTCACAGCTGCCGTCAGATCGGCATCCCAGCAGCCGCTCCGATCACCTCGGAGGGGGGATCC